GGCCGTGCAGGACCTCAGGATGGCTCTGGTGCTCGTCAAGGAGGGGATGTGTTCGGACGAGGGCGAGAGGCGCCCACTGCGTGAGATCATCCAGTAAGGAAGGCACGTACTCGCACATCCACTTGACAGCAAGCAGCATGTGTCATGTGTCTGTGCGGGTCTGTGTCTTGTTCCTGCTGCAGGCACTGCCACGAGTTCCTCTGAGTAGTCTAGCTGTGCCCCATCGGCTGCCTAGTCCATCCATACGCCTGTTTGTTGAGCCGTTCCCTGTGTCGCTTCCATACGTCCACCCCCCACTTGACCCGCCCGCTGCGCCAACATGACCTGCCACCCACACCAACCACAGACTGTTTACGAGACCCCACCCAAGATACTCGCCGATCCGGTGAAGGAGGAGGATGGGCGCATCAAGGAGGCCATCGAATTGGGGGACGAGGAGTTGCCGACGAAGCGCCACACATGGCTGGTGGAGAGGATCCTGTAAGCAAGGCACGCGCATCCAGCTCACAACAATCAACCGCTGTAATGTCTCTGTGCGCCGTTGTTTCTGTCTGATTTAGCCTTTCATCGCTTCCTACATTTTATATTTCGTCGGAGACTTTTCCCTAATAACCGTCACAAGATTGCAAGGTGGCATTGAGAATAGAAATGACTTTTCATCGAACATGCTCTTCTCTGCCACGCAAGAGCTTCCGGCCCTTGTTCGAATCCATCGATCGCAGGCCCCTGTCCGGATTGTCATGTCTCCACAATGCGGCCCATGTCATTGAATGCAGGTTTGAATGCGTGTTGGATCAATGATACATCGCGCGCTGCCTTTTCTCCGTAGTTTGAACAATGCAATTCCTATCTGTTGATCTCACAGCCGACCGTACCTATGTCAATTTTCATGTCATTTGCAATGAGTTCATTAAGGCGGTGTCACCCACTTGGAGCAGAGATCTTTGCGGGCAGCAGGGACGAGTGCGTGCTTTGGTTGGCTGCGCTCCTATGATGCGCACTTCGGACATGCTCAGTTTATTCCGTTTCATGCCATTCTTTTTGCTTCAAGGCTTCCATGCACCCGTTCGTTTATGGCATCTTGCATTTGACCTATCCATACGACAGCGTTAGCGTTAAGTCCTTCCCTACTACGGTCCAACAGCATTGATACCAACAGCCTAGGGCTAATTGCCTGAATGTACCTCATGTTACGTGTCTTATAATCAGACACGATCCCCACCTATGCGCACACGCACACGCAAGTGCAAACACATCAGCACAAATAAACCACCAGCCAGCATGTAATGCAATCACGCACATCACACAAATGAATCCATCCATCCATCCATTCATCATGTCGCGTCTCGCGTCTTCTCACTTTCCCTCTCTTGCTCCCGTTCCTGTTCTCGCCGCCAGATGTCTCGCATCTCGCGCACGTCCTTTGCCTCCCACTCCCCGCCGGCCTTCAGTCGCTGCCGCTTCTCCTCTATCCTCTCCGCCAGCATCGCCACCTTTGCAGCCTTGGCCTCATCCCACCCCACCACATCCACCAACCCCGTCTTAGTCAACCGCGTACGCAGACCCAACTCGCGCATCAGCGACCGGACCTCCTTCTTCATGGCAAGTGAAGACCCGGTGGGCTTGTCGACCTGCCTGTTGTCGCCTTGCTGGTCGTGGTCGCCACTGTCCGCGATCGCGACCAGGCCCTCTGCGTGTGCCGGGTCCAGTGGGTCGCGGTTGTTGACGGCGTGTCGGCCGAAGTAGCGCTCCATCTCCGCCACGCCAGGCAGGTCGCCAGACACGTTGCGCGGCGGGGAAGAGGCCTCGTCGTCCTCTCTGGTCTGCAAGCTGGTCGGGGGGTAGAAATCGACTCGAATGTTGGTAGGGTTCAACAACTGCGAACAGACAGACACAGTGAGTGAGGTGTGTGTGTCTCGTGTTGTGCCTACCGTGCAGATGAGCTGGAGTGGCTCTAGCAGCACCTTCTCGACTTGGCCGTTGAATGAAGGTGCGTACGGGAGACACTCGCGGTCGAATGGCGGAGAGCTCTTCTGGAAAAGATAGAATCGGGAGACATCCTCTGCACGATAACAACACACGGCATACCGGTGATACATGAGAGGGAGGGGATCGCAAAACAGTCGTCTGATCGGCGGCCGTCACTGACTGACTGACTGACCGTCTTCTGTGCATTTCTTCCGTTCGTCTTCCTTTGGTTCGTCATTGGTGGTGCAGCCCAGCTTGCCAACGGCCACTGCATACGTGGGGGCATCGCCCAGCCTCACGCCCGCGTCGTACAGGCACCCCTTGCCATCATTCAGCAAAACGACATTGGCCTTGCCTGCGCCGAACACACACACAAAAACGTATATCCACATACCCATGCAGAGGGGCACGTGTTACAATACAAAGACACCTTCTGGAAAGGGAAAGAGGATGGGGATCGGCATTCCTGAGCCGAAAGGCACCGCATTGCCGCCCGACCCAGTGACAATGTCCATGTGGCCGTCATTGTTGACGTCCGCTGCGATGGCCGCTCTGCACACACACGCACCCGCACACACACCTGCAATTGTACGTCATCGCTGCGCTTGTGTTGACAGACCTGTTTGGCCAGTCAAATATTTCTTGGACCCGTTTGAAATTGCCAGTTCCGTCGCCAAAGTACAAGGCGTCCTTCTGCCGCGGGATGCACAGGCCATCGAGGGGGGAGTCGCGCGTGTCGTAGAAATCCATGTGGCCGTCACCGTTGAAATCAGCCAACACGGGTTCTCTGAAAAAGTCATGCCCAGTAGTGCACTCGTTTGTTTGCATGCTTTCGTGACTGTGTGTGTGCATGTGCATGTACACACCTTCCCTCCGTGAGAAGATATATGAATCTGACGAAAGTGTCTCGGTAAGAGCCGTCCCCCAGCCCCACCCATACTTCTCTGAAGTAGTTGCCGAGAATGAGATCAATGACGCCGTCGCCGGTGAAGTCACCCATGCTCATCTCCTGCACCGGGATGAGCTGCGGAAACAGGCCCGTCGACTCTGCCAACCGACAAAGCAAAAGTACATAGGTGTCTGTCGCTCTTTCTCTGTTCTGTCAGCACCTGGGTCGCCAGGGAGGCCAGCAGGGTTCTTGAAAGGGTTTGCGGCCTTGAACTGTGGCCCGTCTTTGAATTTGCCATCTCCATCGTTGAAGAGCACCCGGCTGCCTTTGTTGAATGACGGGGCGCCGTAGAAGACGTCTATGTCACCGTCATTGTCCACATCGCCCGGCCAGCACTCCCTGGAAACCATCACCTCGACAGAGTGGGACGGCTTGTGTGTCGGTTGGTGGTTGTGCTCACCGAGCAGTGCTCTCGTCGGATTCCAGCCTTTGATCGCTGATGATTAGCTTGCCCGTGCCATCGTTGAAGTAGAAGTGGTTCAGCACAGCGTCTGGACCGTCGCCTATACCTATCTCCTGCGCGCCGCGAGTGATATACCTGCAAACAAACAAAGGGGAGTGTATGAGTTGTCTGTCGATACGCACATCGTCTGTTTGTTCTTTCCTACAAGTCAATGTATCCGTCACCATCGAAGTCGCCCAGACCAGAGTCCCTGCACCAATCACATGTATGCTCATCGGTCGGCGGAGCTACACTTCCTTATCCTATCACACGCACCTGCATCCACCGCTGTCCGGGAGGTCCTGGAACTTCTCGAAGAGGCCTTCAGGAGTCTGCAAGTAGGTCTCGGTGAGGTCGCCGGGCGGCTTGAAAAACAGCTGCGGGACGCCCGTGCCATAGTTGCAGAACACGATGTCGTCGAGGCCGTCATTGTTGAGGTCGGCCACAGACGCGTGCCGCGCATCACGCTCACTCACCTCCTGCACACACCACACTCACACACGCATCCGGCAGCTTTAGACAAGCAAAAGGGAGCAAGCCTCGTGCAATTGGCATGAGGGTACGCACCTGTATGAGCACGGCGGTGCCAGAGCCATCGAAGCGATAGATGCCGTTCAGCGACTCCTGGTTGGCCTCCACCACGAAGCACGGGTGGTCCTTGGTACATGTGGCAGCAGGGGGGAACTGCGAAGACAGAGAGCGGGTGTCTAACAGCCCCGGTGGCTCCACTGCACATGACCACCCAACCACATAAAGCACACACGGTCTCTCTTCAGGGAGCGTCGGATTTCCGATTATTATCGTGGTTTTACCTCCTTGTGCTGTCCAGAGGCAGCCACACAGCGCAAAGGCTGCGAACAGAACGAATTGCGGGGCTCGCCTCATTCCCCCACCTCTTTTGTACGCACCTGTAAATTCAGTGATTGCAAGGCGAATTGCTCTTCTTGGCACACAGTTGTTGCAGGACCGACTTGCAGATAGCGCTGCTCCTGCCTCGCGTGGCGGCTGCGGTGAAGGAGCTAGGAAAAAACAAAGTTCTTTGAATGGAAGCTCGCAATTGTTCCCCGGGAGCTCGCAGTCATTGAGCAGCAAAAGAGCGACGTTTGACGCCTGAATCAGCTTCCTCAAGCAAGCAGGAGTCGGCTGATATCTGTTTTGACTGTTGCCAATCATTCGATCGTCTTACGCTCACCTCTCCTCGCAAAGAACAGCATGAAGGGTCCCTGTGAGCCACCTGTCACTGCCAAGGAGGCGGCAAGGAGCAGCAGCACCCAAGCAGACAAGCCCTGGCGGATCAACGTGGGCGGCTTCACCATGGAGTTCCCTCGTGAAGTGCTGCTGCAAGATGGCCTCAAGGACACACGCCTGGCTGTGTTGTTTCACCGCTTCGGTGAGTCGCTGCTCGAGGACACCGACGGCATCCCCTTCGTCGACGCAGACCCGCACTACTTCATCTGGTGGGCGGGAAGCAAAGCCCACGTGGTTTGATTGACATTCATCCACTGGCCGCGTGTCTGGCTCTCTCCATCTGTGTGTGTCAGGTTGGATGTCAAGTTGGGTTTTCTCAAGGCGGGCTGGATCGACGACATCACGCTCTTCGACGACTGCCCCGTCAAGACCTTCTACCACGACCTGTGCTTCGCCAAGACGACACTCAGCATCACACCACAGAACGACCAGGGCAGTGAGGCC